AAATGCAGAAACAAAAAAGAATTAAAAACAGTTAGACTAAAGAAAATGAACTAATGATGTTTCAGTTGAACTGTTTAACTAGAACAGTCGATGGCAATCCTAAACAAATGTGTTTTTAGTCTTTATTTAAAGGAACTCAGGCTTTTCACACTTTAACAGTTTTCTGGAAGTTTAATCTAGCGATTAGTAGTTATTATTTCAATGATTTTCCCTGCTGAGCTCTGGATGCCTGCGGCTCATCAAGGGTTTTAGCGAGTCCCTCGACTCCTTTAGTTAATGTTCATCGTCTCAGAATAGGTGGACCTCCACATTTGACCCTTGGTTGGTTTGCAGTTGTGTAAACCTCTCCACAACTTCCTCTCTAACCTATCTGCTGTTTTTCTTTGCATCCATGTTGCTGTTTTTTCTTTAATGTTGTTTAGCACCAACCTTTAGAGATCTTTACAGAATTGCTTTTTTGGTTTCAGGAGGCTTCTTTATGGAAACCAGAATAAAGAGGTAGTTGATTTTGGTACTAATGCATGCAGTATTGTTCAAAAAACATACTGTATGTTGCTTTGCCTGTCTTGTTCTATCAAATTACGCATATAACATTTTGTGGTTGTGATGTGACAAAATGTAAGGAGGGATATAAACATTTTGTAAGGCAATGGGAACAACAAAAAAAAGTTCAGCTGGAAATGGTTATTCATCTGGAAACTTTTTGACCTGAGAGTTTAATTCTCTGTAGTTTCTCTGCATAGTAAAGAAAATATGTGGTTTTGAGCATAGCTGACATGTGAGTGTTCACTTACTTATTCCGTATTCATCATAGTCATCATACCAGTTTTTCTCAAATGGAACAGAGGTTGTGGGTTCTTCTGTGTTATAAAACAAAATGAACATCAAAAGTAAGTTAGAAACCATGTTCATAGTTTCAAAAAACTCCATCTATATAAGTAAAACTTTATAGGATTACATAGTTTAATCAGCAGTTTTACACATTAGCCCCGCCCCCATTTGCTGGACCACAACATGAGATCTGCTACTGCACCGCCCGCCTATAATTAGGTTGTTAAAGCTTTAATTTACATTTACAGGAATCATAAATTAGTTGGGATCTGATGACAGGGCTCCTTTGAATCCCACAACAAAACCATAGACAGTCCTGTTGACTTAGTGGAACCTAGCAAACCCACCCACTCCCGTCTGCAAAAGTAGGTTAGGTTGTTGCACAGACTCACTGTAATGTCAATCCCATGTGTTTATGGAAGCCACAAGTGGAACAGAAATTCCATATGTGCTGTACTTCTGGGGATGTCTCACTAGTGAAAATTTGCCATATTTTGTGGGGGTTGGATATGAATCTAATAGGAAGCTTTTGTGACAGCAGGTACCTGGGAGGGCTTCAACTATGATCTCAGGGCTGACCTCTTCACCGTCGGGAAATGGGAGATTATCAGGAAGTTCAACTGCAGGTGGGAAAAAGACAAAACTGGGAGTTATTTCACTAGAAGGAAAATGCGGCACAGAGTCCATGAGTTAAAAAAAAAACTGGAAAGAACTAAAGTTTATGGCAAATACTGGAAACACTTAGTCATGACAACATGTTATAGTGTCAGAAACAGAAACTTTTCCACATTCTGTGGACTAAATGTTGCACTTTAATATGTTTGTCCTCAACTGGAGGCAAAGAGCAGCGAAGTTTTATTTTTGTGTCTGCAGAAACAAAGCCAGGAGTCCCAAACATACCTGTTGCATCCCAGTAATCGCTGTCGCCTGTCCCAGTCTTCCCATCCACAGCAGGGCTCCCAGGAGTCGGGTCCGCCTCATTCCAGTAGGTGTCATAGTTATCAGTTACTGAAGGGTACGGTTCCTTCTCATCTTCCTTCCAGAGGTCGTCGTAGACGTCGGGCGGTGAGGTCGACGGCTTCTCCTCGAAAGCTTTCCAGTAGTCATCGTAGACGTTGGGCGGTGAGGTTGATTGCTCCTCCTCGAAAGCTTTCCAGTAGTCATCGTAGACTTCGGTCACTGGCTCAGCTGGGTCCTCCTCATCCGGGTTCCAGAACTCATATGGAGGCTCAGTGCTTGGAGATGGAGTGGTGTTAACCCCCCAGTAGTCGTCATCTGATTTCCAGTAGTCGTCTAAACAGAGAGAGGGAGAAGCTCAGATGTGCAAACAAAACTACATCAGACAAAAACATCTTAAACATGTGGAGCTACATATATAAGCAGCGATTCTGTGTTTTTTTTTTTTTTTGTTGTTGTTAAAAGCTATTCTTTATTTGTTTGTACTAAGGTCAAATGCAACAAGTCCCCTCCCCCACATGTTGCTGTATATTACATGTTGGTTGACTGAAAGATAGCGCCTATAAATGTTTTTCTCATTTGCAAGAAAAAACAATTCGGTAATATTTTCCCAGATGGAAAAAAATAAAACACAGAGGAAGCGTGGAAACTATAGAGGAGCATTCATCATTCTTATAAAGGTAGCATCGCATTGAAATTGCTGCTATAGGTGTCAGGTTTGGGAACTCAATGGCTGCTAGAGCAGGTAGCCTGACTAATAAACCTGAAAATTTTAATACATCTGAATTAATCAATAAACAGCAGAACAGTGAAATAGTCTGCATAACAAGCAGCATGGAGATAAAAAGTAAAGCTGGCAGAATTCAAAGTTTTCAAGGCAACAAACTTGAAAAAATGTCGGGTTTTGGACTTTAACTTAACTATTTAAGTGTTGCTTTAAATTTTTTCCAAACTTTGAATTCTATGTTATCTTTTTTTTGTAACCCAAAATTCTTCAAACATATGTAAAAGTAGTTGTGACTCAGCAAATGTAATAAATACAGTACAAATCTCAAATTCATATTTCAAAATTATACTTTTATTTAGTGGGGAAATTGGTCATCAGATTTTTTTTTTTTTTAGCAAACCCTTTTTGTTTCAAGGATAGTAACACAGTTTCAAACTTGCAACCTTTACAGTCAGGCCAAATGCTCTGCTCTCTCATCCACCCTGAGGCATTTCCAATCTCTGAAAACTTTTAGAAAATCTAAATACGTAAATACTATCATTTTAGTTACTCTAGGAATAAACATTCTTTCTCTGTTTTAAATAAAACTACACAGATGATCAACATCTCAGATTCTACATGGTTATTATCTATAATTTTCATATAAAGGTCATCAGTCTGGGGGAAAATGGTCAAATATGCAGAGATGTTATTCTGTGCTTCTAATTTATTTAAATATTGGTACAGTTTCCTCCTTTATTAAACTGATCGAAGATTTTTTTTTTTATTATTATACTTACAAATGAAAATCCACTGCAACACATATAATGGTCATTTTAATTAGTTCAGTTCCTCTCGTTGGTTTAGAGTTTAGATGCTTGCTGAATTTCCGCCTTTTATTATTTAGACAATCAGCTCATTTGCTCTGACAGAATGTGTCTAAATGCCTTTGGTAACATCCACTTCCACCCGGCCTTTTCTGGGACAGGTTTAGTGCTGAACAGGAACTTTCTGCAAGGATCTAATGATTCCATGCAGAAAGCTTTTCCTTAAATCATGCTTTAGTTTTACTTGTGTCCATCTTGCAGATCAGGTCAGCAATCCTGAAATTATTCATGACCATTTGACTAAATAAAAAAGCTACTTTTATGGTAGTATAAATCCCACTCTGCAAGAATTAGGAAAATCCCAACTTTATTTCGAATGCATTTATTCAGTGGAAAAATTCATCTTAGAAAATGATATAACAGCTTTCATTAAAATCATCTATATGACCCCTGGTAGGACCTCCTTCAATTCCCTTTAAATACCGAAAATATAACGAAAAAAATATGGAAAAGTTTGGTTGGATCTTTATGCTAAGAAACATTTTACTAGTATGCAATGATTACTTGTGTTTGAGAAAGTTAATATGATTAATATGAACTCTTTTCTTTCCAATTTTGTTATTCAAAAAGGGAAATAAAGGAGAATAAGTATTAAGTTTTGTAAGGTTGCTGTTTGTTGACCTTCACAGATTAAAAAAAAAAAAAACAGGAAGAGAAAAGCTATTTGTCGGTATTTTGACTCATATATAAATTCAGAGCAATAAGTAAAAAGTTCAAGATGTGTTACCAGAGTCGGGGTAGTAGTCAGGCTCAGCTGGGGGCTCAGTGGGTGGTTCTGTTGGGATTGCTGGAAGAAAGACAGAAACCAGGTTAAGTAAAACTCCTCTAAGTCAAAATAAGTTCAGTGCGAACATGGCCGCTGTGTGTGGTTCTTACTTGTTGTGGTGGGTGGGAGGGTTGTGGTTGTTGTCTGCCTGTCTTTCTTCTTTCCCTTCCTGTCAGTTTTGGGCTTTTTGGTAGCATTTGGGTCCTTTGGTTCTTTGTTCTTCTTTTTGTCCTTCTTTTTCTTCTTGCCTTCCTCCGGTGCTCTTCTTAGCCTGCTTAAAATGCCTGTAGGGACATAGAAGCAGTCAGGACTAATGCTAACTTTAATGCCCTACCTTCTGAACACTTCTAAACCAACGTTAGTCTGTTTAATTCCTGATCCAGATAAAAAAAAAAAACGTAGCCCCCAAGGCTGAAAAACTACTTTGCAGAACTTCTGATGGCATCCAAACATGATGAGTCAACAACAAATACTGTTCATTAAATACCTTTAAAGGTTTATAATTTTATAATTTTGCAGCAACTTCTTTTTTTTTAAGTTTTTAAGTAAACACCGCTGTAGGAAGAAACCAGACAGCTGGATTCATTTCAGTGGTTTCTGGAGATCCATCAGTATTTCCTTATGAGGTTGTCTGAAGCTCTGCCGAGCTTTCATGGAAAACACGTCTCTCTTTTTCCATTAGCTTTGTACCATCAGCTCAGTTTTAATGAAACTAACTCTGTCAACAAACGCACCATTCTTAGCGCAGTACCTTTATGTGAAGCTCAGCAAAGAGCCTAATTGATCTCATTGTTTGTTTATTGTAAGTTAAAATATGTTCAGATTACAGGCTCTTCGATGGAATGCATGGAAAATATCCAAAGGTCTGCACTAATCTTCCAAGGCTACATGAGGGAGGGGGGGAAAATATCTGCAAACTTGAAACTAACCAAATCCCAGGAGCTACCGGCGCTGTGTCCATCTGGTGGGGCTAAACAAATGAACTGGTGGACAGGTGGACATCTGGAACGTCTCTTTCCATGTTGAATGCTGACTGACAGCGGGTTTGCATCTGTTTTTACTCTTTCACGCTCAGACTGCAGCGGCTTGCAAAAATATTAATGTTACCTAAACGTTTCCAAATTAGTTTACAACCTTGATACTAAATGCTGGGGGGTTTAAACGCAGCTAGCATTTCTATTCCGCCTTCTTTATTTGGATACCCCAAAATGAGAAATGAAGCCAACTGTCTTAATATATCACTTTAAATAAACTCTGCCTTAGCCAGTCAGTCGCAGTATAAACATGCCTATGTTCTGTGAAGGCCTGAGAACGAGTGGGATGAGAAAGAAGAAGGAACGCAAACAGAGAGGAGGTTGGCGATGTTTAAAGAGTTAGAAAAGAGAGTCCTGCTCAATCTATCATCATAAAAGGCAAAGTTTATGGAACAAATGCAAACCGCCCCAAGGAAACCGAGAGGCTTGAATAGGGAGAGGAATAATTAGAAAGGAATCAAAAAGGTTCATAGTATCTGTTGTGAAGGCATTTATTTAGCAATTTGACGCAATTCGAATGAAAGCACCCACCAACGAAGCATGGTGGTGGCAGCATTGTGCTTTTCTGTGCTTTTGCTTCGGAGAAGCTGGTCGGGACTGAACCGTTGAACAGGAGAGTTCTGACAACTAAACTGGCTACAATGGCCAACATCTCAAAGATCAACAGCAACACACGGAGCTCCAATGGAGGGAAGATAGCTGCTCATGCTAGCATTACCATAGATGTCAGTAGAAAATGATATTTAGGTTGCTCTACTCATCTTTGATCATGTAAGCAAAACATTAATATCTCATATAAGTTAAGTTAATATAATTAAACAGATTCTATATATATAAACAAACAAACACATTTCACATGACTAACTGTAGAAATATGAAATGGAGTAAAATAAGTAAGCTTTTTAATAATGGTTGAGCGTATGTGACACTTAATAACCAAACATATCAAGTCTGTATCAGATCTGCCTGTATTTTGAACTACTGGACGCCCTGGCACCCTAACTGTCTTGGAGTTCCTCTTGCAGAACTCTGCTGCTCAATGGTTCTGGAATGAAATGCAAGGAAGCAGGAGACTTGGTTGGAGGCAGAGGGTGACCTTTGAGCCCACAAACACGCAGTCACAGAGCTTCATTGTCGTTCATAGATGCTCTCCATCCATGAATGATGCTTGAAATACTTAACTGGGCAACAATTTAGTCTCTAAATGTCAGAAATTGCGAGAGATGGTCTTTTAAAAAAGACTCCAAAATGTAACTGCAGCTCAGGGTGGATCTAGAGTATTAAATCAGCCAGATGTAACACAGTCCAATATTTTTATTTGCTACAAGTAATCAGCACTTTGTGTTGATCTATACAGTCTTACTTCACATAGCTTACCAGCCTGTGGGGTCCCTTCTGTTTCTCTCTTGGCCTTGATGCTGCTTCTCAGTGGGTGTGGGTCCGCTGCAAGTTCTTGCTCGCTTTCTGGGTCATCCAGGGACTTGTCTCCAAGCTGATCCTCTGACTGCTTCTCCTGCAGGAGAGAAACTATTCCCCCGGCACTCCTCCCTCCTCTGGGAATCAGCAGGCAGCAAAGGGCCAGCAGAGCCACAGATGCAGTCACAGTGTGGCTTTTCATATCTGCTGTAAATTTCCTTTGGTTTTGGAGTTTCTACGTCTTTCTCTGTCAGCTCACTCCAATTTATCTTCCAGAAGCTAAAGCTCACAGCCTCTTTTTAATGCTCTCCAAACTTTTACTCCAGCAGGGAGGTCTCCTCCTTCAGCTCCACACGTACCACATCCACAGTGTGTCAGGTCAGTTGAGCTGAGACTGGGCTAGACAGCGACGGAGGGGGAGAGGGGAGGGGAAGGAAGGGAGGGGGTAGTTTGCAGACACGGAAGGGGAGAAACACCTAAAGCAAAGCAGTCAAATGAATAGACAGGGCTCCTAATTGGTCAGCTGAAAAAACAATAACAAGGCTAGAGGATCCTCTTCACCTGCAGGACGAGTCACAACAGGTGTAGAGCTGAGACCTCAGATTGCAGGGCAGGACAGGTGGGGAAGGGTGCGCTGGGTTTGATGCTTCTGGTTTAAAAAAGGAAACTGTCTGCTTTATGTCTGCAGCTCCTTTTTGAATTCCTCAGCTAAAGCTCTGCAGGATCACCACAAAGCTGAGCAGCGGGAGAGAGGAGTGAGTCCTCGGACACCAGGTTACACAAGCAGAGCTGGAGGGGGAGGATAAAAAAGGAAAGAGAAGGAGGACAAGGGGATTTTGAGAATAACTGATCTGAAACAGATAAAAACAATGAAGTGTTCTTTTTCAGGTCACGGGTCTCTTCAGTGGGTTTGTTGTTAACCATTATCTCCTTTTTAGGAGAATAAAGTAGCATCAGCTCTCTGAGCTTATGACGGTCATAATCTTATAAGGTGGGCTGCTTTGTTTACTGTCCCCCATGTCTATCTCCAGCTGAGTCTGGTTTTCGTAAAGTCTGACAAGAGCCTGAAGCTCTGATTGGATTTTTAAGTTTTCCTGTGGAATAATTTAAGGTAAAAAATCTGACACTTTCCAATAAAACACAGCCAATTATTCTTCAGCAGGAATCGGATCCAGAAGCTCTTGTGCAACAAAGACTTCTTTCAAACTGAATATATTGACATTATAAAACCTTTCACTTAAAGTGCAGGACTGGACTGAAAACTAAGGCAATCACACACATAAACCTGCCGATACAGTTCGGCTCATATGATCTCAAAATGCGGGGGCAGGAAAACAAGAAATGTTTGACAAGAATTGGGCTACGGAGGATTACATTCTAGAGAAAATAACCAAAGTGTGCAGCCATATCTCTGGTGGGTGTGACTACAGTTAGGAAGAATGCAGCTGATAGTCGTACATAGAGCGAGGTCAAGCAGAGGCCATTTTAACCAAAGGGGATAGAGATGCTAAAGCTAACTAAAAAAACTAATTACAGACAGATACACAAATAACTATGAATGTTGTTGTACTCTACTTTACTGTAATGCATCACTAAATATATGGGAAAAGAGGGAAATTTCAGCTATTTTCATTCATTTCTGATATATTTCAATCAACCACAGTTTGGCTTCCTAATATAAGGTGTTCCAGTGGTTAATAATAATACAACTTAAATTTAGCATTGGAGATATTTACCTCTGCATTTAACCCATACCCTTGGGGAGCAGTGGGCTGCCATTGTGTGGTACCCGGGGAGCAATATGGGGTGCAACCTTGTCAGAGCACAAGTGTAGTGCTCTAACCCTCTAGGCCAACACTCCCCCTTAACATTCAACCCTCATCATCCCTTTAGAATAGTAAGGGATTGCTGATACATGTGACCATAATAATGCCATTGCTAGTCAAAAATGACAAAAATCTGCTAAAGCTTTGTGTTTAAATTACAACAAGATGTTTCCAGGTGCATCAGAGTTTGGACTCTTATAGAGGCAGACTTCATGTAACTGAAGGAGGGATGAGCCTAAAAACCTGATTCAATAATTTGCCTTTTATTCAATTTAGAAAATGAGCTGAGAGAATATCTGAGAGCATAAAAATCATCATATGAACCCTCTATAATTGAAGGACGCGGTTTACCAAGGTATATTTCAGTAATTTTCTTTACGCCTTTTTGTTAACATTGGTAGACTAATTAGCTTCATATTCTTCTTGCCCACCTGCCCCCACCCATCCTCACGACCTTCTACAGAAGCACCATATAGAGCATTTTGACCAGCTGTGGAGGCTGCAGTGCCGCAGACTGGAAGAAAGTGAGAAGAGTCATGGAACAGCAGAGAGGATCATCAGGGCTCCTCTTCCCTCCATTAAAGACATTTCATCACGGCGTTGCATTTCCTGAGCAAGTAACATCATCAGCAGCGCCTTACACCCCCACCATGGACTGTTCTCCCTGCTGCCCTTTGGGAAGAGGCTTCGCAGCATTGGATGCAGGTCCAGCAGATTCTGTAACAGCTTTTTCCCCACCGCCATCAGAATGCTGAACTGATAAAACTCTAATTAAGACTCTACATCACACTTGAAAACATATTTGCACTACCAACATGGCTGAATTTTTCAATCCCTTTAAATAGAACACAATTCAATGTTCTACTGCAATTTGCACCATATTTATTTATTTTGCACTTCACTGAACCTTCCATAGCAATGCATTTTGCACCATGTCTTTAAACCGGATTTCTTTTTCTCCTGCACGTTTTACATTCTTGATCACCGCTGCACATTATAAATGGTAGTGTTAATTTCACTGTTGTAAGCTGCTTATTCACTATTGAAAGCTGTATGCACCGAAATATTGTTTTGTATACAAGAGGACAATAACATTTGTCTAAGTCTTTTTATATTGTTGCTTGATTTGCTGCTAATATCTGTTGGGAATTTCACATCAGGTGAAACATGACAGAAACTGACATGTACACATTCGCAGCACTACATTAACTTAATAAGCCTGCTGTTTATGTGCCACTATAAATGTACATATGTGTTAGAAAAAGCTGAGATGTGGGAATGCATGTTTAAAGTCTGCGCACACAGCCTTGAGCTGAGCATCAGGATGTGTTGGGCAGGAAACAATGACATCAGAGAGCCGGGAAGAGAGTTGGGGGAGGGAAGTCGGGAGTGAAAGTGAGAGAAATATGCTGCAATCCAGCAGGCTCACTAGGTACAAATGGATGGAAAGCGATTTATAAAACTCCATCCTGTTCTGTTTAATTCATTCTGACTGGAAATCCACACACCAGCTGGATATGGGATCTGGGCAGGATGGCTGGGCTCTAAAATATTAACCCTGAGAAAGGCCTCTGACTGTTACAACCTTTTATCCCTCAATGAGAAAGAGTGAGGAAGTGTTAACAAGCATAAGAAATCTTATACAACAGAGTCAGTTTACTTTATTGTTTATTGAGTGTAAAATCAGGGATTCTGGTTCAGAGATGCTTACATTCTTTGCTTGACGTGATTCAGCAGATCTAGCTCATCTGGTTCTGTGGGGCTAAGAGCCAAAAGTCTGATCCAGAGCAGATGTGCCGGCATGAGGCGTCAACATGCCTAGCTTTATCAACCAGAGATGAAATTCTCCTCCGTTTGATGGATTTCATATATTTCCTGACTACCATTTGCTCGTAAAGTGAAAGCAGATGAGTTTTTTATTTCCTAATAAAGAAGAAGAAAGTCTGCCACTATGAGAGCTTTGGCGCTCTAAACAAGCCACCAATGCAGCCGTTTAGTCCGAATGATCAAACATCTGTGGGTACTGCAGTCAAACTTCAACATCATTTAGAACAGTGTTCAGATGTGAAAAGGTCAGTTTGGTTTTGAAATCTGAATCACTGAGCAAGGCTTAGAGATGTGCTCTGAAATCTGAATTTTCATCTTCACTTGATTTGTTTTTTGCTCTCAGCACTATCCTACAATAAAACATCCAGTATAATGTGTCACACCCTCAAAGAGAAAGTGTGCTCTCTAGTGGCTGCACAACAGAAAACCTATACAAAATCTATATTCATTTTTAACTTGCAAATAATTTTGAGCTTTTTTTTTTTTTACTGATACTCAGTTAGGTTCATACGTTTGCATACCTGGCCATTTTTTAAGAGAATAAGAAGATAAACACTCAGCTGCCTCTCATGGGTGAATCAATTTATTATGAAACAACTTTGTTTGCTCTTTCTAAACCATTCAGGTTTGAGATGAAGCAAAGTGGCTGAATCATCATAAGGCCAGGAGACCAAGATGGCCCCCAGAACCTCAACTTTTATCTGCCAAAGCTGGCAGTTTGGAGCATTTTCACGTCCTGGTGCATCACTTGTGCAGCTGCCAGGCTGATTGTTAATACATCTTGCCATCAGTGTTGGCCAGCTTACCATTTCTGTTCCCTATACATCCATATTTTACTGTTAGAACCGTGCCCTTTAATTGTAAATCATAGGCTTTGTTGACTCGTGGTCATAAAGTTCACTTAAAACTCCAAATAAATGTTCTCCAAAGGTTTTGTCAATG